TGTTTTTTATATTTATACTAAATCAAGACTACATGCTATTTTAGGTATTATGACTATATAAATAAAAGTGGCTGACCTGGTCACTTATCTGCACATCTCCATATTAGAGCTACTAGAATGTTTTATCAACAGAAGACCTGTAGACAGTGTTCTGTATTTTGTGTGAAGATCCTACAATCCTAAATATCTGATTAAGCAGTCAGAGTAAATGAAAAAATCTCAATCAAGTGAATTTTTAAAGGACAGGCCAATTAAACCACAGTTTTTTTCTAACAGAATACCATATATTCAAATGAAAGAAAGAACAAACCAGGACATTTTGGTTCTTACAAAATATAGAGAAGCTGTGGGTTTTTTTGGAAATTAAAGCAACAAAGAAGGAGAAGAAAGATCTGTGGTTAGCATTATTCACATGTTAAAGAAGTACAAATTAAACATCTAACAGATCAAACTTGCATAGTTTTTTTAAAGTAGATCTTTAAAGTAGTATTCAGACTATTTCCCTCTTTCAGAATTTGCAGGTATGTAAGTCAGGTTGAAAATATTTAGAGACCTTTGAACTATTCTATTCTACCTCATGTCTTTGAAGATTTCAAAAAGGCCATTTTAAGGAAAAGAAAAACACAATAATGCTATCAACAGACACACAAAGGAAGCACAAGAAGTAACAGTCTATATTAAAGAAAAGTTGATGGACAGACATAGTAGAAGTTGGGACATAAAGATACGTGAATATTTCTACTTTTTCCAAATGCTTTAAAATACTTTTAAATAGCAGTGCTCAAGTCTTTGAGAATCATTCTTGTTATTATCATCTATTTGTATTAATTACAGGAGATGCATGCTGAGCTGACTAGGTTTGAGTACTTTCTGGTTCAGTCTAAAATTCCAATTGTTTCATTCCAAGTAATGCTCAATATAATTTCTTTACCTAGTATTCTCCTCTTGTCCTGTGTGTGGCATACTGCAAAATCCTATTAGTCTGTATTTAGGCAATCTGCAAAATATCTCCTCTCCTCTCTCCTCTCCTCTCCTCTCCTCTCCTCTCCTCTCCTCTCCTCTC